CATTATTCTTTTGTTCTTTGACCCTTCTTTCAAGTTTCAGAGACGTGAGACAGAGTAGCTGCTTGGCCAAGCTTAGGCCACACACCAGGATCTAGTTTGGGAAATGGCAAGGAGAGGAGAAGAAGGATCTTGCTCTCTTGGATTCCATTGTGGAAGGCAGGCACCTGGAATTACCTCCTAACAAGAAGATACATAATGAGTGAGAGGTAATTAGCCTCACTGGAAATCTGGGTACTACTCAGATGGTGGAATCGATGCTGGGCAGCCAAAGGATGATCCATGTTCACAAGAAGCATTAATAGTGAATTTGAGGAGGAGAGAATGGCATTTGAAGTGCCATGACCACTGAACACTTACAAGAGTCTATTGTGTGCAAGGCTGTGCTCTTGGTGCTATTGGAGATATAGGAAGTAAAACACTCACCTGCAATATGAGAACCAAACACAGGAAAGATAAGTGATGCTACTAAGTCACAGATCTTGTGTAGATGCAGATAATAGAGCATATGACATTCAGAGAATGGGGAGATTATAAAATCTAAAATATTTAGGAGTTATCCCAAGGGTCATGGCACTTAAACAGTGTGTAGAATTGGGCCAGCAGACAGGAAAAGAGAGAACATTCTGGCAGGGGATAATCTGAGTAGGGTCATGGAGGTGCAATGTAGATGATGCATTTGGGAATTGCTTTTTGTGTAGGGGTCGAGGGGAGAGAGTTCATATAAGGGCACATTCCTGTCAGTGATATTTAAGATGCACAAAAATGGACAACTTTTCCCTTCTTTTCTTATTTAGCTGACCTCAGTCAATCACTAAGTACTTCCTTTTCAAGACTTCAGGAATAAAGTAAGGAAGGTATTGTATTTGTAGGACTGAGAAGGGGCTGGACCCAAATGTGTCAGTGGTAGTGAGAGGAGAAAGAAAACAGACCTGAGAGACACTGGCATTGTGATTCAAGTTTCTGACTCCCTTTCTGGGACCAGGACCACCGGGCTTGGGCCAAATTCACCAAGTTCATTGTCAGGCTGCTGAATGCCCTGGACTACCTCGCTGCCTCATTATCTTCCCCATTCCTCCTCCTTCTCAACCTTCAGCAAAATTGTCTTTTACCAATCTGCAGAGCCAAGGTCCAGGAAGAGGAGTAGGTTCATAACAGGAGTGGAAACCCAGATACTCCTGGATGCTGGCTCCCCAATGGCATCCACCTTTTTTTTTTTTCTTTTTTTCTTTTTTTTTTTTTTTGCCCTGGCAGCTGCTTCTACACCAGAACTGGACCTAATTGGGACCAGTGGTCCTCTTCAGGGCTTGCCCACCTTCAGCATTTCTGCTTTCCTGAAGTGGTGCCGAGATGTGTAAAGGGACAATGTGCTAATTATACTTGGAGTTGTTACTTGTGGAAATCATCCAGGCCTCCAGGGCCCTGCCATCAGCTCAACGTGGTTTTATTCCAGACAACTGCAGACTCCCGTAGATGGCTGTCTGCTGTGCTTCATCCCTCTCCCAGTTCTAGAACATGATGCACCAAGCTCACTACATTGGGTCATTAAAATCGGATTGCAGAGGGCCAAGATGTGCAGCAACCACAGCAGCTATGTAACACCGAAAACAGGCTTTTCCTTTAAGCAGACTCAGAGGAGTGGCGGGATGCATTTTTCCCATCAGATAGGGATAACCCAAGCAACTTGTTTCCTTCCCAATATTTTATCTGCCCTGTGGCTCATGGTGACATTAGTCACCTTTAAAACCGAAGTCCAAATTTGTAACCAATGCTAACAGTAGGGTATTTAAATGCTTTTTTCTGTTTCTAGTTCTTTACATCATTCAGTGGACTAGTCAAGAGAAGCCAGAGATGTGGTCCAGGCTCAGTGGAGAGACAAAAATCTCACTCCATTAAATTAACCACTGAGACCAGCCTGGAACACTCAATGTTCTTCAATGACTATTTGGTATATTGCCCAAGAGGTACCACACAACTCTTGGACACAGTTGAAATGGAAACAAAGCAAGACTTGTATAACTCACCATATATTTGTTAGTGAATTCGATGTGTATGTGGTTATAAGAATAAAAAATAAAAAGGTAGATAGTCAGACAGATGGGGGTAAAGTTTCTTAGCAGAGTATCCCACATATTCTCTGCACTCTGACTGTGCTAGGTTTTATTACAAAAATGGTCTTAATTATCACACTCTTCATAATGTGACTTTGTAGTTCTTCCCATTAAGAACTGGGGTCTATCTGCCTATTTCTTGAAACTGGCCTTAGCAATCATGCCTTGGTTTGCCTCATAGAAGGAGGTAAAAGTGTTGGTGTTCCAGTTCTAAGTCTAGGCTTCAGGGACCTTGCGTGTTTCTGCTAGCATTTTTGGAACCCTGCCTCTACCATGAAAATAATCCCAGGCTTTACTGTTGGATAATGAGAGACTAGGTAGAAACACTGAGATGACAAGCTGAAGCATCTCAGGCCAGCAGCCCCCAATTGACTTAGCAGCTGACCACAGATATAAAACGGAGTCCAGCCAGGACCAGAAGGACCATCTGGCCCATATTTCCAACCCCCAGAAACATGAGCTAAATAAATGATTGTCTTAAGTCGGTGATTTACAAGTTGATTTGTTACACAGCAACAGGTAACTGATATATCCATATTTAGGTTTTCGGACACACTATGTCTTTTTGGACATCAGCAATCAACGCAATTGTTCCAGTCACAAGCTAAACCATCACCACTTTGCACACGCCCTGTGGGCCTTGCAGATACATCCAGATCACTTCTGAATGCTACTGTGAACATGTCTGAGATTTCTAGTCTTGCCCGTCTTCCCTTTCTATCTATCCCCTCTATCACCAAGTCTGCATTTCCTTTTCTGGATCCTAGAAATAAGAGGCCTACCTGGTCTCTGCATATTTCACCTTATTCCTTCTGTGATCCTTCACTGTCTAAAGCATTGGGCCTAAATACCTTATTTCAGGTCAGGACAAAATAAATAAATAAATGAATAAAATAGAGAAGTGTTAAGTCTACGAAGGGTGATAGAGGCCTTCTTTAATCTCGTCCCATTTTACATCTGCAGATTCCTCCTGCACAATTTGTCTACCCAAGACATCTGCCCTGTCCCTTCAACGTGTAACTCCCATATGGGCATTTCTGCTCACATCACTGTCCCCTAAACTCTGCTGCTTCAAATCCTCTCCTGGCTTTTCCCAACTTCTCTAAATCTTCATTTTCCTTCAAGGCCAGCTTACCTCCTCTAAAACCTCCTCAACTGCCCCTACATGAGTCATCTCTCTCTTCTCTCTTGTCTCAGTTCTCTTAGAGCTCCCTTAGCTGCTGGTTACTGCCTTTGCATGGCTAGTTACATAGAAGCCTGGAGACCAGGGGCCATGGATCTCCCATCTCCACCACTCAGCATGGTGCCAGAAACATGTGCCTTCAGGTGCCAATAATAGGTAAACATGGATTCGATTAAGCAACTCTCTCCCAAGACAAATTAACATGTTGGCTCTCCTTTCTTTTAAAGAAAAGTCTCATACCCTTAATTTTGGGTATTGGATTTAAGGAGAAACAATAGACCTTCACTATCTCTGCTTTGCCTCCCAAAGAGTCCAATAAAAAAAAAGCAGAATTCTTCCTGACATGTAACTACCCCTTCCTGAACACTCACTAAGTACCAGGTACCACCCTAGAAATTGCATTCTGATCATCTCACTTAAATCTTACAACAGTCCTAGGTGGTACATATTATTGCCTTCATTTTATAGTAGTGGAATCTATTAGCAGGATTGAATTCTCTCTTTAAAATTCCACAGGCAGCAAGTGGCAGAGTTAAGATTTTACTCTAGTTCCATCTGAGCCCAGAATATGTGTTCTTTCACAGTAAGTGGTAATGCCCCTAACTTAGCCAGTTAGTTTGCTAACTAACATACAGAACAGCCTTTTATTATGTTGCACTTTCCCATCAATAATCCTTAAATCCCAACCTAGATTTTAGTTCCATGGAATCTTCCTAGCCTAGTACTTTCTGTGGCAAACCAAATAATGCCCTCACCCCCAAAGAGGTCCATGTCTTCATGACCAGAACCTGCAAACGTCTCGTGTTACGTGGTATGAGGGGATTAAGCTTGCAGATGGAATCAAGTTTACTAATCAGCTGAACTAGAGGTGGGAAAATGATGCCCAGTCATCCAGGTGGGCCCTTTATAAAGGCAGGTGAGTCTGAGAAGGAGCTGTGACCACAGAAGCAGAGGACAGAATGACACAGCCTCTAGAAGAGGGCCCCAAGCCATAGAATCAGGCAGTCTTTGGAAGCTGGAAAAGGCAAGGAAACAGATTCTCCCTTAGAAGCTCCAGCAAGAACGTTACTTTTAGCCCCCTGAGATCCATTTCAGACTCTGACCTCCAGAACTGTGAGGTAGTAAGTTTATGTTGCTTTGAACCAAGTCCGTGGTTGCTGTTACAGTACCAGTAGGAAACTAATATACCTCCCCATAGAAGCAGGGTCCATTCATGGGCCAGTCGCTTGTTAAGATTTCTCACAGCTCAGAAGCCACAGTCTGAATAATTATAAGAAAGTGTTTCGATTAAACACCTATTATGGAGGTATTATAATTTGTTCCCACAAATAAACTGAGGAAAATCTTTCAAGAGCCACTTCACATGCTAAATAAGAAAGAAAGACAACTGACCCCTCTTCTTTCCTGGGTTCATGCACCCTGTAGGAACATGGTTCATGAAGGTTCTGATTAGCTGAGATTTCCTGTAAAACTAATGTGTCCTTCTATGATGAGTGCTGTGAAGTGTGTAAACCTGGCAATTCACAGACCTGTACCCCTGGGGCTAATAATATAAGTTTATTAAAAATTTTTAAAAATTTTAAAAAAACAAGTGGATTTACACATGTGAGTCTATTTTGGACTTTGTTTTTATATTCTTGATCTCTCTGTAAATATGTGCACTGATGACATATTTTAAAAAAATAAACTCGCTTCTGCAACAGGCGTGGGTCACGCTCTCGCTCGCTCTCTTTCTGCCGCCATCTTGGTTCCGCGTCCCCCGCACACCCTTCGCAGAGTTTTTAAGAATATTTGACTCTGGGTTGGGCACAGAACGGATCCCAGTCAATTCAGGCCTCCTTTTTATTCCCTTCAGAAATGCCTGATGAAGCCACAGAAACCGTCTCTGCTACAGAGCAGGAGTTGCCACAGCCCCAGGCTGAGACAGGGTCTGGAACAGAATCTGACAGTGATGAATCAGTACCAGAGCTTGAGGAACAGGATTCCACACAGGCAACCACACAGCAAGCCCAGCTGGCAGCAGCCGCTGAAATTGACGAAGAACCAGTCAGTAAAGCAAAACAGAGCCGGAGTGAAAAGAAGGCACGGAAGGCTATGTCCAAACTGGGTCTTCGACAGGTTACAGGGGTTACAAGAGTCACTATCCGGAAATCTAAGAATATCCTCTTTGTCATCACAAAACCAGATGTCTACAAGAGCCCAGCTTCAGATACCTACATAGTTTTGGGGGAAGCCAAGATCGAGGATTTATCTCAGCAAGCACAACTGGCAGCTGCTGAGAAATTCAAAGTTCAAGGTGAAGCTGTCTCAAACATTCAAGAAAACACACAGACTCCAACTGTACAAGAGGAGAGTGAAGAGGAAGAGGTTGATGAAACCGGTGTAGAGGTTAAGGACATAGAATTGGTCATGTCACAAGCAAATGTGTCAAGAGCAAAGGCAGTCCGAGCCCTGAAGAACAACAGTAATGACATTGTAAATGCTATTATGGAATTAACAATGTAACCATCTGAAAACGAGGACTTTTTTTTGGTGTTTCAAAAGAATAACTGCAGCTTGGTTTGAAATTTGTACTGTTTCTATCATTAATAAAGTTATGGCTTCTTGTTGGATGAAAAAAAAATAATCTCATTTCATTAAAGGAATTGGTATCTGTAAAACACACACACACACACACACACAAAACAAAACAAACAAAAAAAACCTAATGTGTCCTTGCTAGTTTCCAAATGATGCCTCTGTCCTCCCAGTAAAATCAAGAACTACCAATAAAGTACAGGCCAGCGGCTGGGCCCCCTGTCTCTCGCAGATACCACATACACAAATAGGAAGATGGTCTCCAATGCTATAATTTCCTGGGCAGCAAGTGTCTTGGGTTTCACTTGAGTGGTTAATGATGATGTCACCCGAGTGCCTTAGTATGGGGCATTTCCAACCGTCAATTAAAGAACTATCATTTACTCTATATATTAACATCCAGAACAATAAACACAGTGGAACACAGTCATTAGAGGCAGCCATAATCCATGGCCTGCTGTGTCCTGATGTCAGCCCTGCTGTGTTTGACATCTGAAATCAGTCCAAAGAAAGCACTGCATTTTCAAAGCTGGGACTACATGGAGGATATCCACCCCTGGCTTCATTCCATCTTCCCACCTCCGTCCTCTAACCTATCAACAGTATGTGTTCAACCCCAGAGTTAAAAACCCCTGTATTTTACAAAAAGACATCCAGGCCAACCTTCTCCCTGACTGGGAATAATGCCACCGGTTTTCAGTTGGTTGGACCTAGTGGGCCTTCACCATCAGATAATAAACCAATTCAGGATGTTATGATTCTTTTTATTTTATTTTATTTATTTATTTGACAGATCACAAGTAGGCAGAGAGGTAGGCAGAGAGAGAGGGGGAAACAGGCTCCCCGCTGAGCAGAGAGCCTGATGCGGGGCTCAATCCCAGGACCCTGGGACCATGACCTGAGCCAAAGGCAGAGGCTTTAACCCACTGAGCCACCCAGGCACCCCAGGATGTTATGATTCTTAATCTAAAGGATGATAAAATGTAATGGGCCTGAAGACATTAAAAAAAATAACAAAAAAAAAAAAGCCTGACCTTATGATGGATAAAGAGAGCAGAGTCAGTAATGTGGAAAATCAGAAAAATAAAAGGAAATTTTATTTAAACTTAGCTGAAATATTGTACCTCAAAGTTCTCTTCATATGTTTCCTAGAATTGTTCTCCACATCCATTCAACACATACTAATTAATCACTTATTGGTGCTGGGAAGGAAAGATAGAAGTGTTAGTAAAATCACAGAGTCTAGTGGAGGAAACAAAGACTTAGTCAATATCCAAACTTGCCATTTATGAGGCACTCACTATGTCAGACACAAGCTATTCTGAGAGCCCTGCATACATGATCTCATTGAACTCTTTTTACAACCTGCTAAAGTAGCTCTTCTGCACCCTGTTTTGCTAATAAGGTAAGAGACCCATTAGACCCCTTGATGCTAGATCGGGAATCCGAGCTCCACCAGTCTCCACACTGCACAGGAGCCATGGGGCAAGTGCAGTAGTTCTTCCTGTCCTGTAGGGTCCATGCTTGTCTCCCACTGTCAACACAGTACAATTACATTTCCCAGGGTCCGGCCACCTAGATTCCTGAGCTGAGCTCTTACTTCAAGGGATGCAGAATCAACCTGGAATTCAAAAGCCTCCTCTGTCAGACAGTGACAGGGTAGGGAAGCCTCTCTGTTTCTTTCATGGGTCACAGCACTGGAGAGATGTGCTCGGGTCACTGGGGTGATGAGAAGGTGCTCCAGACTAAGATGGGGTGGGACAGACACCAGGAAAGCCTTCCCCGCATCTAAGGCCCTCTGGGACCCAACAGCTCCAGGACTAGATAAAAAGCAGACCTTCTCTCCAGGGGATGGGTAGATCTTGCACACGCTCTTCCCTGGAAGAGCATCTGATGAGGTTGGCCGTAGCACAGCAGCAGGCATGTAGATGCCCTGTGTGTGTGTATCTTTAGGGTCAAGTAGAAGTGATTTACTGTTCTGAATTATCTGTGCCATTGTTCCTCTCTGCTGAGTTTTTTTTTTTGTTTTTTTTTTGTTTTTTTGTCTGGCTTCGTTTTCCTTCGTTATTAGGAAAGGGTTATTCGCTATGTGTAGGTTCGTAGAAGCAGATCAGAAAGTCTCAGCCCACCAGTCTGTTTCTCTGAGCAAAGGCTCTGGGGACTTTTGGGAAATGACTGTGTCATAACGCTGTGTTCAGAGGGAAGGTTTTTCCAAGTTGCTAAGTGCAATTTTCTTAACACCTAGGAGCCCCGATGGGGCAGGAGAGGAGAAAGTGAGCGGCTCTCTGGTGGAGGTTTCCTGGCTGTCCTGTGGGGCATACTTACTAGACTTTTGCACACCCTGCATGCGTTCCTGTGCTCTCTACAAACCTGATAGACTTGTTTATTCAAATCATTCTCCTCGCTCTACCTACGGACTTTCGCTGCACTTGGCCGCCACCTGCTGGAATCAGCCTGGAACTGACTGCTGGGCCCCATAAGGCAGACACTGCCAGCACAGGAGGTGTGAGAGAACAGATTGTCAAATTCATTCCATGGCATTCATTCCAGAGAGAGCCTCTAAACTGGCCTTGACCCACAAGAATCTGTTTTTTAATAGTCTTTTGGAGACCTAAAGTCTACAAATCCCTCTGATAACTCATCTGAGCGTTTAATCACCTTCTCTCAGAAATATTTTCCCTATTTGTGATCTCAATGATGCTTCTGTTTAGGTTAATTTCCTACCATCTGTCTTGATCTGGGATGAAAAGCAACTGCTGTCAATCCTCTGGGTAAAAGCTCTTTATAGGCCTGGAGAAAGATCAATGACTGTGCCTTACTTCTCTGAAAAGGTCCCAAGTTTTATTTTCTTTTAAATTGATTTCCTCGCACAGATTTTAAAACTTATTTATCATCTCTGTGGCTCTCCTCTGAATGTTCTCAACTTCTCAACATTTCCCTTTAGCAAGGATCCGGCGAACCCCAAACACAATGCTTCCAACATCATGTATACTCTCCAGATGACCACTCCTTTGCCCACAATTTTCTGAGTACCTACTATGTGTGAGGAACACAAGTAAGGCTTGTGTGGGATAGAAGACAAATTACTCATGAACTTTCCAAAAAGAGAGAGAGCTACAATGCCTGCACAGAGATAACTATAACAGTGTCTGAGACAAGTCCAGACATTGGTGCCACTAGAGGCCGAGGGAGAGAATGAATACTTTCAGCATTTATTAGGCTTCATATAGGCAGTGGGGACCAAACTGGTCTTTAAAGATGTGATATTGTGATTTTAATAAGAATTATATATTTGGTCTTCCACCCTTTTTGTCTTAGAGTTCCTAAGCCCATGGAATTTCCTGTGATGAGAGCAGTAAAGGTATTTCTCGTTATGTTAATGAGACAAGTTCCTAAGGATGGATGCTGGTTGCCTGGGAACCAACAGTGGGATTAGAGGATTGGAACCTTCATTCCTCACCTCCCCCTTTACACACACCTTGGGAGGGAGAGGAGAGGGACTGGAGACAGAGTTTAATCACCGGTGGCCAATCATGCCTAATGAATGGAGGTAATGAAGACTCCATAAATCCCAAAAAGGACAGAGGAGTTTGGAGAGCTTTCCGGGTTGGTGAACACAGGGAAATTTGCAGAGAGTAGTGTGTTCAGAGGCGGCAAGGCAGCTCTCTGCCCTTTTTCCATACCTTGCCCTAAGCATCTCTTTTGTCTGGCTGTTCCTGAGTTAGATCCTTTCACAAGAACAGCAGTAATCTAGTAAGTAAAATGTTTCTCTTAGTTCTGCAAGCGACTCTAGCAAATTAATGAAACCCAAGGAGAGGGTTGTTGAAATTTCCCATCTAGAGCTGATGGGTCAGAAGGACAGGTGACAGCCTGAACTTGGCATTGGTGCTAAAGTGGGAAGGGATAGTCTTGTAGGGCTGAGCCCTTTTCCTGTGGGATCTGACTCTTATCCCCAGAAAGATAGTATCAGAATGGAGTTAAATGGTAGGACACCTAGCTAGTGTCTGAGAATTGCTTGGTGGTGTATGGGGAAAACCCATATGCTGGAATTAGTGACCAGAATTGTTAGGATACATCAAATTGGTTGGCCCTGAGAAGAAGGGTGCTAAGAAAGGACATGGCATTCCAGGCAGAGAGAACAGCCTGAGGAAAGCCTTGGTGACAAGGGATGACCAGGCATGGGTGTGATCTTCTAGTTGTGTTGGTGTGGGTCAAGGGAAAAACAGACGGGGCCAGATTGTGGGGGCCTTCCCAACGGGGAACCACAAACGAATCCAGGTACTGTGTTCACATTACATAACTCCTGTTGGATTCTATTAACTTGACAACTTGTTTTTCACCATCCTGACCCTAAATCATTCTCAGCTGTTCTTAGAGTCACTTTTGTCCCCATCTAGCATTGGCTCTTGGTTTTGATTTGTTTACTCCAAATCCCAGTTTGGTTTTTACTCTGGTTTTTCTCCTGAGAAATCTGTCTTGCCCTGGCACTATTTACTCCCACTCTCCTAGCCTAATCTTTGGCAAGATCAGTCCCAGCTGGCCAATTCTGCCTCAGTCACTCAATTCTTTTCTTGATGCGCTGAGTCTTTTAAACTCCTCTCTACCTTTAGGAGATTTAGGAAGGCAGGCACCTGAGAGTGAGACCCTGGTCAAGTCACCTGCCCATTCTGGCTTTGGTGTCCTCCTCTTTTAAAAGAAAGGGAAGGTATGTACGAGACCTCTTGGGTCCTTTCTCGTGCTCATGATTTATGAGCCAATAACCGCAACTGTCTCTGTCCACAAGACATTCCCCCTGCCAACTATTTCCATGGAATAATTTCAGCTCTCCCGGAAGAATTTTCCTATGAAACTGATTGAAAATGGAGTTTCAAACAAGCTGGATCTGCTGAGATGTCAACCAGCTTTGAGTTATGTTTCCAGCTGAGATGAGGATAGAAGAACAGATGAGAAGCACGACTAGCTTCCCTCTTGCCAAAGGACCTCTTCCCAGGAGATATTTTCAAAGACCAAGAGAAAATGATGGATGATAAAGCAGAAGAATGAGCT